GGACTATCTTTTTCTATCCCTGAGGCCATATTACAATTACCAATTTGTATTGTCTCATCCCTTACCCTCTCCTTCATCCCCACCCCCTCCCAACTAACAACCCTCAGTTCTTTTTAAAAAAGAACTTACCCAATTATCTTACATTTGAAATATTAATATATACATTTTAAAAATCAAAATGCAGTCCAGGGAGTTAAGCAGGAAGCCTTTTTAAAACAACCACCACCTAAGATTCCAGTGTGGAGATGGAAAAAATAATTTTCCTTCTACCTTTTAAATTTTTGTGGCTGGACTAATAATCAAATTAACACGAGACGAATTAACAGGAGAAAATAACCAAGCTTATTTTGTTTGTACTTACGGGGATTCCGTAAGAATACGATGAGATCCCAGAGCATATAAGGCAGCTAAGACTTATATGCCATTTTGAGCTAAGAAAAAAGGGTGGCAGGGGAGGGGGAGGTTGTGGCTTGGGACCCCAAAGGGCAGGAAAGCAATTCACATGGAGATGGAAAAGCAAATGTTTGGTAAATGTTTGCTGGGGCATCTTTAACTATGAGACACACACTTTAATCAAAAGGGCCTTGCTAGGTTCCTCCTTCCTTAGTTCATATTATAGTTATCTATGATGATATCTCCCTTCCTGGAGCAGGTCCTCTTTCTAAATATTTTTAGGCAGTTAGGGGGAAGGTCATAGGTTCTTTTTGAGTCTTTTGTTTCTTTAAAATAACCAGCTTATAATAATCAATATCCTAAAAGGCCTATTTTGGGGTTGCAAACTCAGGTCCCCCTCACCAGAATCACACAGAGCCTTTAAATGTATTTTCTTTCAAAAGAAAAAAAATGTAAAATAGTTTACGTTCCATATGACTGTCAACTAAACAGGAGCCCATCAATCTTTCAATATCATAGCACTGCTTTTCTGCACAAATAACAGTAAGAGGGCCAGCCGAGTGGCTCGGTTAGTTAAGAGTTGGCTTGGGAGTGAGAGCTCTGAGCAGCAGGGCCACAGGTTCAGTTCCCACGTGGGCCAGTGATGCTGTGCCCTCTATAGCTAAGATTGTGAACAACAGCTAGACCTGGAGCTGGGCTGCTGTGAGTGGCCCGTGACGGCGTAGGCTGCAGTGGGCTGCCGTAAGCTACCATGTGTAGCTGGCGGCCCGCATGAGCTGCCGTGGGCTGCCGTGAGTGGCTGTCCAATGGCTGGTGACCCATCTGTCTCACCCGGGAAGAGTGCAATGATCACAATACCCACATGGGCCAGTGAAGCGATGCCCTCCACAATTAGGCTGAAGAACAAAAGGACAGCAACTTGTCTGTTCCCTCCCCCAATTCCCTAATAAAATCTTTTTAAAAAACCCAAAAAACAAATAAAAGTAAGAGACAAGATTTCAAAGATATTTTATTCAAAATTCTCCTTCCAGGAGAAAATATATGCAGCAGTGTTTACACATGCTTTAATAACTTATTTCACTGTACAACTTGTATTCTCTGTAACAATACAACAAACCAGCAAAACAAAAATCAGTCAGCACTTAAATAATCTAGCGTGTAAAAAACATTGAGTAAAGGGTAAAAAACGGTGGTATCTGTACATTTTCTCATGACTGAGCTACAGAGCATCTGTCATCTAGGTTTGTGTGTGTCTAAGAGTCAAGATGCCTACACCTGTCTTGTTAGTGATGTGAAAGGCTGTTGGGACCTTTCACGACAAAATGTGCTTTTGGTGAAATTTGGTGGGAGGATAAGGGCAGAGGGGCTCTATCACTTTTATCTCTTTCTCATAAATATTTTTCCCTTTTGTGTTCGTTCCACAGTTTTAAATAAAAAAAACCTTTTTATGCTTATATATACTACTACTATGTCAACACTGTTCTAGCACAGAATTATGTTAATCAGTTATTTCGTAGCTAGCAAAATGGTCCAAACACATTCAGGAAACAAAAGAAATAGACCACTTAGTTCTGCTAAAGTAGCACCTAGTAAAACAGCACGTCAGTGAAGTTTCTCCTGCTATTCGTCATATGATGCAGGCAGAGACACGCAACAACTTCAAAAATATGCAGAGATATAAGTAGAAAGAAGACAAGATATTATTCTCTATTCCTGAAAACAGATATTACCAGTTAGTATAGTCTCTATTACATTTAATAATCTCGAAATTACAATGATTGCCAAGTCAGGGAAGACTACCATACGAGAGCAAAATGATGAAAATGACTGACTAGTGAAATCTGAACTTCTTCCAAGTAATTATATTTTCCAAGGAAAAAAAAGGCACAAAGGTACACATTTTCATTTGGCTCGAAAATAATGAAAATTTAAAAAGTTGGTGATGGCTACTAAAACATAAAATCCAATTTGTTATATTTCCTGACAGAGCTTAACAAACAAACAAATAAGCAAACAAACACCACCCTGACTGTAGTTTATTATAATCAGGACTATATACACTGCTTGACATTTTTACACAGACTGAATCTGAAGGACTAAGTCTACAAAGGAGATCTAATAATTTCAAACATCTGCTTGATCAGTATTTTCTTTCTAAAGTTTACCCTTAGGTTCAAGTTCACTTCCTGTCTATGGAACTAAAATGATTTAAATGCTCTAATTTTCAGCTGATTGCAACAGTATTACAATAATTCCATAAACCAAAAAACACCAAAAGATGAAAAGTCAGCTAGTATTTTATATGTGAAAGCTAACTCAGACTTTACTTTGATACAAGTAAACCATGAATCCTAAATTTCAGAAAAACAGTAGTTGTGGTCAAGTGTATATCCTATCATTATATATTCAAAAGACAGCAATAATATTTATTATCATTGTAAACATAAGTCTGTATCCCAAGACGGCACATCTGGGACAAGATGCATCCACTGTTGACAATGTACCTGACATCCCCTTGCAGATTTCTTGTGATGCCTGTAGTGTAACTAAGTTTAACTGCCATTGCTGAGTAGGATTCTGGGGTATGATCCAAGGGTTTGATGTGTTCCATACCACTGAGCTATTTTAGCAGCAATCATGATTATAATGAAATATACTTAATAAGTTACACATTTAAAAAGTCATTAGGACATCTCGTTCCTGTACACTAGTGTAGAAAGGTCTTCCGAAGATAAAGGAGTGCAGGCCTGGTTTAATTTTTTCAGCTAGAGCCATTATTATGTTAAGATCGCCCTCTGCTGTTAAATCAAGATCTATCTTCAGGTTCCGAAGAGATTTAAAGAGCTTTTTCCCCTTCTGCCTACAAATAATGAAAAAAATGTATGTAATATAGAAAATGTCCAAAGAGAACAAAACAAAAAACAATGAACAAAGGTTTTTCTTCTATATGGTTTTACTTACGTATCATCTTCTATATATTTTATTAGCGTCAAGGCTTTTCTGTGAAGGACGAGTAGAAACTGTGCAAGGAAAGTACTCCTGAGAGATAAACCTGGTTTCAAATGAAAGATCTACAGGAAAATGAAGCATTTTAATAAATATTTTGCTCTCATTCTACTTATACAGCATGTTTCTATCACAGCGTTAACAGTGTCTGGCAGATAACACACATTTGGGCAATTCCCCTCAATCATTTCCACTGATAACCCCAGACAGGCAGGAGTACAGTGGATACTGAGTCTGGAAGCAATCTGACAGTTCTATTTTATTTTAAAAAATGGATTAAAGTTTTGTAATCTACCTCAGAATATACGCGTATTTATTTTATTAGCAGGTATAGTGGCAGAAAGATTTTATTTCAGCTTGAGAAGTATGGAATTACATGATTACGAATTATCCTTGAACTTTGAAATATGTCCACATAGACCTGGATCAAAAATTTTTAGTTAACCTAAGGATCTCATTATTTCAAAGCTGCATCTATGACAATGTTTCCTTGCCTGATCCCCAGAATATTATAATAAAGCTGTGTTATATTAAGAAGTCCCATATAATCTGTAATTGCTTCAAATGTATAATTAAGCAGATTTTCTTCAAAGAATGAGACAATAAAGATGATATCATTTAAACAGAAGTATACTAAGTTTTAAAGACATTTTTGGCTCAATTAAGGCAAATAAAAAACATCCACGTACCCTCTCTCCCACTCTAAGAAAGAAAACACTTTGTTATAGGTTAGTGCTTGGAATTAAAACATTTATTATTTGAACTGGGGAGTGATGCATCTTTAATTGTTAATATTGAGGCTACTCATCATTAATAATTCAAAAGAAAAATCATTTAGACACTTTAAGAAAGGCCAGAGACACTACAAAAAGATAATGACTTAATTCTATGATGTTATGAGGTGTAATCAAACAACACGGTGAATGTTTAGAATAAAAAAAAATTGATTGCATTAAAGACACATTGCCATTAATCCCCCTCAAAATACTCCCCCTCACTTCAAACGCACTTATCCCATTGTTCTTGCCACTTTCTGAAACAGTATGGAAGTCCTCTTTCATGCGTGTCTTTAGTTGCGCTGTTGTGGTTGCCTCCATGTCCTGAATTGACTCAAAATGTTTACCTTTCAGGGTCATTTTAACTTTGGGGAATAGCCAGAAGTTGCACGGTACCAGATCTGGTGAATAAGGTGGATAAGGACATGCTGTAATGTTTTTATTTGACAGAAATTGCTGTACCAGAAGCGATGTGTGACATGGAGTATTGTCATGATGGAGGATGGTTTACAGCACACTGTTACTAAGGTTCGATGTGTCACTTCCTGTATTGAAGATCCCTGACTTTCCGTTGGATGGCACTTGGCAGCAGCATTCACCATATTTTGTGATCACAACGGAAAGGCTCCACGTCACACACTGTGTGTTAGAAACGAGTGGGGAGTATTTTAAAGGGGATTAAGGGCAATGTGTCTTACTGTAACCAATTTTTTAAAATTTAAACATTCACCATGTTTTAATCACACTTCGTATATAGTACAGGCATTGTAGGATATATTTTTTTTAGAAAAACAAACATATTATATTATTCACTCTGACAATCTCCAGTTTAACTTTTACCTGATCTAGGAAGGCTTTTACTAGCGTGTCTCTGTGTAAGACATCTTGAAAAATATTCCTATAAAGAAAAGAAAAAGTCCAAATGCTGAAATGGCTATAATGCTACTTTCCATAACCTTACACTCTAGCCAATAAATTAAGTTCTTATATATGGGATATTATCTATAAACATATTTATAAAAATTAGATGTATATATTTGAAGATATAAAACATATATTTGTGTATACATATATATTTCTAAATTAGTTTTAGGTGTACAAAGCAACATAATATACATTTTAAACTCCTCATAAAGTAATAATCCCTCCCCCATGCTACTACCCCTCTGACATCTTATAAAACTGTTACAATACCATTGACTATCTTCCTTATGCTATACCCCATCTCCCGAGACTCTGTGTGTGTGTGTGTGTGTGTGTGTGTGTGTGTGTGTGTGTGTGTGTGTACACACATATATATATTTTTCCTCTTATAGTTGACATGTAATATTATTCAGCTTCAGTTTCAGGTGTATAGTGCATTGGTTAGGCATCTACACAGTCTATGAAGTGATCCCCTTTGTAAGTCCAGTTCCTATCTGGTATCTTACATAATCTTTACAACGTTGCTGATTATATTTCCCATTCTGTATTTCACATCCCTATGGCTATATTGTGTCTACTAATTTGCTCTTTCTAATTCCTTTACCTTCTCCTCTATTCCCTCCCTGCTCCCATAAAATATATATTTATTTTAACTCAAGGATACATTTGTATATTACTAGAGTTTGTCAGCCACTGTGTAATTATTTTTCTCTTACAGATATAAGAAGTCCCAAGATGGATATGTAATATATATCAACCTATTGTAGTACCTTCACCTTATGAAAAATGTTGAGAGCCTTAGGCAATTAATCACATAATTACCAATCCTTGCCATCTCAAAAATAAAACAGAAATAAAAATAAACACACACCACAACCACCCAAAACCAAAACAAAATAAAAGGTTAACTTTACATACTAATAACTTCTAATAAGCATTTTAAGATGAAAAAAGGTAAAAGGGTGAATGCTAAGAATCATTTGAGTGAGATTAAGGAACACACGTAGGCGATTATCTGCAATGTCATGACTGCTGTTTGCATCAATAAGCCCATCTGGCAAGTAACATAAACCAGCTAATGTTCTAGGAAAGTGTTACCCACCTAAGATAAAACGTCACGCACATTTGAGAGAATGTTTATGTAACACACCACAAAGGACAGGATATAGTAGGTGTTTTAAAAAAAAAAAGATTGCTCCCTTTCCAGGTCTGAATTCCCTTTAATCTTTTCTTTTCTTTTCTTCCTCCCCTCTCCTTGTTTTCTACTTCCCTAAGGAATTTACTGAGATGCTAGGCTATACTCAAGTCAGAGGGGGTAATATAATAATTAATAAGGTAGGTGATTTTTAACTGAAAAGAAAGACTAAAAATAGTAGGGATCATTATATAAGGGACAGGAGTGGCAGGAAAAGAAGTGTGTGTACAGAGGTAAATAGAAAAGTACCTAAAATTTTGTAGCTTTAGGAGGAAGTAGGAAATTCAGAAGGGGGAAAAGAAATCAGCATTTCATGATTACTGGATGTTGAACTGGTGGCCAATATGGACATTGACAGCGCCCATTCTCTGGCATTGGAGAGAGAATAAGGCTATTTAAGTCCAGTGTTCTGAATATGCCTATTTCACTGAACGAATGTCTTGGTCATAGTGAATTAGATAAAGCAAAGTGTTAAAAGATATTTCCAGGGCCAGCTGAGTGGCGCGATGGTTAAGAACTGGCTTGGGACGCCAGAGGGCCCCGGTTCGGATCCCACATATGAGGGCCAGTGATGCTGCCCTCTACAGCTAAGATGCTGAACAACAGCTCAACCTGGAGCTGGGCTACTGCTGAGTCGCCAGCAATGGCGCAGGCTGCAGCCACTATTGCAGTGGGTTGCCATGGGCTACTGTGTGTAGCCAGCAGCCAGTGTGAGCGGCCGTCCAGAGGCCGGCGACTGATCTGCCTCGCCCAGGAAGAGCGCAATGATGATGCCAACTTGGGCCAGTGAAGCAACGTCCTCCACAACTAGACAGAAGAACAAAAACAACAACAACTTGTCTGTTCCCATCCCAATTCCCCAATAAAAATCTTTAAAAAAAAAAAAAAAGATATTTCCAGTGATTGAATTTTCATATATTGGCAATGACTGAAATTATTTTTAAAAGTTAAAATTAAAAATATCTTTTTTTTTTTTAAAGATTTTTATTGGGGAATTGGGGGGATGGGAACAGCGCTGGGGAATTGGGGGAAGGGGAACAGACAAGTTGCTGTCCTTTTGTTCTTCAGTCTAGTTGTGGAGGACATTGCTTCACTGGCCCAAGTTGGCACCATCATTGCGCCCTTCCTTGGCGAGGCAGATCAGTCGCCGGCTTCTGGACAGCCGTAAAAATATCTTTAAAAACGTAGTATTGTTTAAAATAACCTAAAAGTAAAATATGTCTCAATACATAAAATTTAACAATATACAATCTAGTTGTTGAAAATATTTTTGGACAATTTTATGTTCAGAAAATTTACTGAGCTGGAAAGGAATTTCAAAATTCATAACATAACTTTGTTATGATCAGCCAAACAAGAAGAGCTGGCTGATCACTGTTTATCAAATCAGTGAAGCAAACATAATGGGCTAAAATGAACAAGAAATGTTAAAGTATACATATATCTGCTCTAAAAAGAAAATACTAGGTTGTTGTAAAGTTCACCAAATCCCCTCAAAAAGAGCTCTGAAGCAACCAATCAAAAAAGGAAAAAATACTAAACACTTTAGGAAAGAAGAAAATGCTTAAAGGAACAAATTATTCCTGAGAATTTCTATGTGTACCAAAATTACCAATACTGTATGTGAAAATTTAGTGACAAGGAAATCCAATTTGAACCAATTCATTTTCTAAACCAATCCCCCTAAAACTCTGTAAGGAACCAACAAGAACACTGGAGAGCGGGGAAAAGGTGGGTCCTAATGAAGTCATCTTTCTGCACCTAGTGGCGCAGGAGGCTGGGGAGCCCTTGGGTAAGGTCTTTTGTGTTTTTGGTCAATACCTTCTGTGTGACTACTGGTGCTCCACATGTCTGCTGCCTCAGCTCAAAAGTTTTCTCCCAAACACAGGACGGGGTTGCTTGCTCCAATTTACTGCTCCTTTATATACTGAAAACTATGTTATTCTAGTTAACATTTACTGAGCGCATTCTATGTGCCAGGCACTTTAAATTGATTAAAGAGAGCCATAATAGTACACTATAGTTATTTTCCTGATTTTAGAACATCATTTAAATGTTTTCTTGGGGTTTTATAATTTAGATTTATCATCACCATTTTTTTTTCTAATTGTATCTGTAATTTTTATTTTTAGTTTACTGATCAGACTTTATGATAAGAAATGAATACAATATAAAATTAAGTAAACGAGTGCTCTATTAATATTTTTGACAGTTTTTTTGTATTTTACATTCATATATCAAGAAAGACAAGACTCAGAATTACTTCTTTGGTTTAGTTAATAAGCTTTTTAGTGACTCTTATACATTAGACTATAAGCAATGCTTAGAGCTGGGGCTGTCTGGCTATTATTAACCTTAACACCTAGTACTGTGCCTGCAAGCTCAATACATATGTGTTAAATATTTATTTTTAAGGGATATTTAATCTATTTTACAGGCATTCTATTATGGGATTATATTAAGAAAAACATACATTTAAGAAAAAAATCCTTGATTAACTAAATATTTCTTCTAGCCTAATTCTCCTAGTAATTAATATTTCTTCCCTTTTAAACGCAGACTCATTTGCTTTGTTCTTACTCATCAAAGATGCAATTTCATACTATTGCTCAATGACAATATCAAAGGGCAGGGCGTTACATACAAGTCAGGAGTGAAGCTTTCGTCTGTGTAGATGATGGTATCCTGAGCCATGTCTTCTTCCGAAGTGGCTCTCCAGAATGCTGTTAGCTCTGATCTCATGTACCTACGCTGATTGTAAATGTGTTCGTGGCAGGGTGGCATTTGTTTGACGGTATTGACGTCCACATCTATGTGTGTGGTGGGATAGGGAGCATACATGACTTGCCGGAATGGTAGCACAAAGCTTCCAGTTGAATCCTGTAATAGTGAAAGGAAGATTTACCGTCTTATGTGCCAGACTGTATGAATAATTATTTGTTAAATTAAAAAAAATAAAAAAACAACTGGCTTGGATTTAGCAGATCCATCTCCAGAAATTTATATTCAGGTATTAAACATGATTGTATGCAAAGTTACAGTGCATCCAAAAGGAGAAGTGATTAAATTAAGCTGCTGAAGTTTGTGTTGATATTCAAAGATATTCAGAATATATTACGAAAAAAGCAGGTATAGTTTTTATAGAGCATGCAGAGTATAATAAATTTTTTCTTTTTGGGGGGAAACGTGTGAAAAAATACATACAGAAGAAAAAAAGACCAGAAACACACATGCCAAATATTAACAGTAGTTATTCATAGGATTATGAGATTACAAGTGGCTTTTTCTTCTTGACTACTCTTATGTTCTTTTAAATCTCAGTAATATATGTATTTTTATAGTAAGTATAAAATGTTCTTCCTAGGTATAGTCAGTTGGGTTGCCACGGGACAAGGATATACTGTGTATGAGACACTATGCTATGCGCTATAAAGAGAACAGAAGACAAAGGCTATTTCTAATTTTTCACTTTTATATTGCTGTGATAATCTTTATAAGTAAATATTTCTTCACATATAATTTCTTACACTGGATGGATTTTAATAGGTTGAAATAGTAGGTTAAGTCTTTAAACATTTGCAGACTCTTGATATATAATGTCAAAGCATTTTCTGAAAGACTATATATACAATTTATAGTTACATGGAAAATTCTTAACAAATATTTTTTCATTAAATTATAGTTTCAAGTTTTCTTTTATGCATCTGGTATAGATCACTTCAGGGATAAAATTATATAATTAAATGAGTGGGTGCCAAGGAAATGAAAATACTAAGTTCTTTATGCCTTTCATAGGAAGAATTTCAGAGAATTTTCAGATTTGTACAATTCAAATCAGAAATGAGTTTCCCTTAAGTAGTTTCTATTTTTAAATGCTATTATTTTTTGAGCATATGGCATGCACATTACTAAAAATGCAAAAGCTGAATATAATTTTTATTTTCAAAAATTTTAAATATTTTTATGTATAATCTATGCTCAAACCTGTGTAAAGGAAGTCAGCCCCTTGGCATATAAACATGAAATGCATTAAATGTTAATGTTCAAAATACACTTATAAAGAGTCTCAAAAATTGGTTTCACTTGTGAACAAGTAGAAACTATACCTTTAGCAGGCCTTGGACAAAGAGCCCTGACTCGTATTTAAATGTTGATTCTGTTTCACATAATCTGGAGCACTTTCTCTCTGCTGGAGTCAGAAAAAGGCATAATGTTCTTACTATCTGTAAAAGAAAAGATTTTAGCATTAAGATATGTAAAACAACAAACAAAAAAACAAAACAAAACAACAACAAAAAAACACCATTGATTTGCTTATGAAAAAATCAAAACAGAAATTTCAATTGTTTTTGCCAATAAAATATATCTTGGGAAATAAGTATTCCTTAGTCACCCAGAATAGTCCATGGGCTATTGCTATTATAAGAGTTGTTGTTTAAAATTAAGGGTCATGTAAGTATACAGGGTAGCTTAATACAGGAAAAATGTACAAATGTATTTGTCAAGTAAATAATCACTCCTAATATATTTCCTGTGTAAAACTTAAAAAAAAAATAGGCTTGCTTAAATTTATAGCTGTGTATACTTATCTCTTTCTAATTAATGGTCAGTGAAGAAAAGTACAAAATCCCTTAGTTTATTGCCTAATGCTTGGAAAGGTAACTGATCATTAATTTTTATTAACTCATGTAGCAATGAAGAAGTGGTCACAGGCATTACTGAATCAAGTATAACCTCCATCGACCACCTAATAGCAATAGATTCCTAAAAGGAATAGATTTAGGGGGAAAAGAAAGAAAATGAAATCAAGGTGATCAGATAACATTTCTTTGGAATTACTACCCAAAGTACATGGCTACCTTCATATTTATTAAGGATAACATGAGGAAAAGAAAGACAAATATTTTTAAACTACCTGATTTTAAAATATTCTCAAAGCCATTTATACAATACTGAGACTAGCATTTATGAGTTATCAAAATGAAACTAATAAGTGACTCCTATTCAAACAGTTTACTTTAAACTCATTTTTGCCACAGGGTGCCACAGTAATTTGGTCGCATTCTATTTCCTCCTTATACTATTAGATCATCTTGACTATGACCTAACCTTTAATTATAATCCATGATATATTAGCAGTATTAAAAGGTCAGATTATTTGCTGGAGTATACAATAAGTTACCTTATTTACTTTCTCTGCACTGCTCCCTACTACGACAGAACAGCCACAGGTTTGCAAGTGTGAGCTAATGGCACTGTAAATGGAAGAGATTAAAAATATTGGTTGTAAAACAATTTCACAAACAAACAAACTAATAAATAAAGGCAAGTGAGCTTCAAAACTTAGAATAGCTTTATGTGAGGAACACCAAAGCTACAAGTATAATGCCATCTTATTTCTACAGTACTTCACATTTTCCACTGCCTTTTACAGAGATCCTCTCATCTGAGCCCTATAACAATCCAGTTAGTAAAATATCACCATTTTACAGTAGAAGAAATTAAGGTATAGCAAGGTCAAATGATTTATGTAAAGTCAAATGGGATTAAAAATGATGCTAGGAATGGCTGACACTGAACAGAATCAGAAATGATGCACTTCTGATTCAAGCCATTGAAGGCTTGAGGTTAAACACACTCAAGCCTCTAAGATTCTATCATGAATCAAAAGGAAAACACTGTGAAGCATAAAAGCAAATACTTTATCTTTTCACTCATAATTTTTAAAAATAAAATTTCATGATAATCTGCCATTGTAATGAAACACTAAAGTAGAAGATGAGATTATATACGTACATGTAGAGAAAGCACTTCGCATAGGGACTAACATGAAGGCACTCAATAAATATTGGCTCTTATTACTATCATTTTCCTCAGAAGGAATATAGATAGAAAATGTTAGCTATTATTATGTTTTTATGTGCCAGGCAGTGTTTTAAATTCTTAATATATCTCACTTGATGCTTACAACAATCCCATGAAATACATACTATTATTAACCTATTTTACAGATGAGGAAATGGAGGCACAGAGAGTTCAGGCAGCTTGCCCAGGATTACACAGCAGTAACCCAGGGAATTGTATTTTAGAGTCCACACTCTTAAGTACTAAAATCTACTGTAAGACAGAAAGGATGAATATATATATAAATAATTTTCTTTTCTAGGATTGATCACTCAAGTCCATTCACAATGCAACTTAATTTGAAAGGGCTCTTAGTTTTAGCTTTAATGAGAAGTAAAACAAGAAACCAAACCAAATAAGGGAACAAGATTTCTTGTCTGGGCACTGTGGAAACTCAGCTTTTTAAAATATTAAAAAGAGTAACAGCAAATATATCACAGACATGTAATAAATGAGAAAATAACACAAAGCTAACAACAGTTCAAATATGCAATGTTGTCCCTAGAAGAATTGGGAGTAGGCATTCTGGTATTTACTTCCTTCCAAATCCTGTCATAGGTGCACTTAAGATTTGTATCTGCTTCATCCAGCTTTTATGAAAAGAAACAAAAGTCTTACTTGAGAAGAAAGCCTTCATGACAACTGTCACCAATATCATCATCATTGAGAACTGTATCAGCTATCTAAAATGCACCAAAAAAAAAAAATTATCCTGGTATAACATAGTGTTGAAATAACACTTTACCACACAAGATTTCTGAAGTCTCAGTTCAATATAACACATTGTCCTCATTTCTGAACATCAAGAATCCCCATAAAACAATCTCTGTGCACTACCATAAACTTTCAGTAGAACAAATGCCACAGCTGGTGAGACAGGTTAAGCAACAAGTTTTACAAGAACCACCTCCTCTCTGAGCTGTCAAATTCGGGAGACACATCTTAATGACAAAAATGTCAGAAAGCAACAAGAACAGTTCCTAAAGACTTCCCTATACATTCAAAATGTCCTCAACATACAATTAAGGAAACCAGATTAGTGAATTTGAGTAAACTTCCATTAAGGGCCATTGATATGTACACTGTTTTGTTACCAAAAGTCCTGCATTAAATACTGATTGCTTCTATAAGGTCCCAAATTCTCCCGCTTCTAGGAAATACAAAAGTGGTCAAATAATAAATTTAATGTTATAACTATTACTGACCAAAACGCCTTTGAATTCAGGATTTTAAGTGCGTTTGTTAAAGTGGCTAATACTTCATATGAATAGTATGTATGACAAAAATGCATACTACTAAAATTAGAATAGTATACTAATATACATAATAAAGTAATTCAAAGGAATTGATAAAGAATATCATTGCTCCTATTTAATAAAATAAGAACTTACATCTATTTCTTCAGGAACACTGTGTGATTTCATAGATGAAAGCAGTTCCATCACAGGAATTACTTCTCCAGTAAGCATTGGAATAATACTCTGTCCCTGCACAAAAAAGTGCAATGAGGTAAACAAAAATCACACAATATAGGATAAGCTGGAAAATAAAAAATTAAATACTGACGGCAAAGAATAATGTTCTTTGATGGGAATATTTGATGTCTTATTCAAACATAGTTCCAACAAGTCTACTCCAAAATATTTGTAAAGGATTTACATGCTATTTAACATCCATTTTCATTCTTCTGGAAATAATCTTCTTTAGTCAGAATGGAATAATTGGTTTATCATTTACTGTTACATTCAATAATTAAATCATACCAAATTTAGAAAGGATTCCCTTTGAAATGTGAGATATAAAAACTCCTGTTAAATAAAAGTCATTGATGTATTTTATATTTAAAAATGAGGAAAGCCAAGGGAAAAAGACTGATATCCTGAGCAAATATTGGGTCTTCGGAAAAGTCATGATGCATGTTTGCAACAGATGGCACAGTTCATTTTTGGAAGTATTAGAGTCATTTACATCTATGTTATTGCTATGTCATTTGACAGTTGACAGTTCTAGCTTCACTCTAAACAAAAATTAAGAGATTTGGTTGACTTTTGGAGATTTTACAAGTTGAAGATGGAAGACCAAACTGTGCATTTTTGCCATATTTTACTGTTTTACTTCCATAAAGGGAAGAACGAACGTCAACCTTGTGAAAAGTTGCATAAAGTTTATAGTGACAATGCTCTACAAGAGCGTCAGTGCCAACGATGGTTCACGAAATTCCGTGCTGATGATTTTGATCTCAACGATGCTCCTTTGCCAGGGAGGCCCACCGAGGTTGATGATGACAAAATATAGGCATTGAGCAAGTCAAACCCACATTACACAACACAAGAGATTGCAGAAACATTGAACATCCATCATTCAAGCGTTCACGACCACCTGAAGAAGCTGGGATACGTAAGCAAGCTCGATATTTGGGTTCCGCATGAACTCAAAGAAGTTTAACATCTTTGTATAAACATCTGCAATATGCTCATTAAACATGAGAAAAACGATCCTTTTTTGAAGCGACTGATGACTGGTGATGAGAAGTGGATTGTTTACAACAATGTGGTGCACAAACGGTCTTAGTCCTGATGTGATGATTCACCTCAAATGACATCGAAAGCAGACATTCATCAGAGGAAGGTTATGCTCTCAGTGTGGTGGGATTTTAAAGGTGTGTGTTTTGAGCTCCTACCAAGGAATCAAACAATCAATTCCAATGTGTACTGTCAGCAATTGGAGTTTGAATGAATCCATCATTCAGAAATGTCCAGAGCTTGTTAATTGTAAAGGAGTTGTGTTCCATCGCAACAACGAGAGACCGCACACAAGTTTGATCACCCGTCAAAAATTATTGGAGCTTGGATGGGATGTGTTGCCACACTCACCATACTCGTCTGACCTTGCACTGTCAGACTTCCACTTGTTTTGCTTTCTTCAAAACTCCTTGTGTGGTAAAATGTTCAATTCAGATGAGGTTGTAAATCAGCACCTTGTTCAGTTTTTCGCAAATAAAGACAGGTCCTGCTATGAACAAGGAATTATGAAGCTCACTGAAAGATGGCAAAAGGTTATCAAACAAAACGGGCAATATATCATTGATTGATCTTTCTTCTTTATATAAATAAATGACCTTTGAAAAATATAGACAAAAATACGTCATGACTTTTCCAAAGACCCAATAGTTCAATAGTAAAGCCTGAATCAAGACTGAACCTCCACATTCATAATAAGGTATGATCTACTCAAATGCAAATCAAAATCATCACATATGTTCATTTTAAGAATCAATAAAACACATGTTTTCTTTAGATTTCTTTGGAGATACTACTACTACTTCTTACATCTCAAAAATGTAATTTTGAAATCTCTAGTAGTTTCTAGAACGACATTGAATGAAAATATAGACCACAAATGTAAAGCATCTCAAATTTGGGTGATCCCTCATTTATTCACCACCACTACCTCTCTCCCAAAAGCTTTGACCATCCTGAATATGTAAACTTTTCGAGAGAGAGATGAAACTGTCCTGTGTCTATCAATTTTTAGCTAAACATGTTTTTAAAAATCACATATTTAAGATCAATTTAACAAGCTGTTTTCCTCACTCACATTTCATGAAATGGTTTTATGCACTCTTCATATGCATCTGCAAATCAGAACCTCTGTCATCCCTAAAGTCATTTTTTGAGTGACCTAATCCGGTTTTTCAGAGCCCCTAATCATGTAAATTGCTTGAGAATTTAAATGTGATGCTGTCTCTGGAAATTTTATCCTAAGCAATACGCCCCCTTGTATCAAACTTTTATTATTAAAAAAATTCATCCTGTAGTAACCTCCACAAAATAACCATTCATTGTTTCTGCTCTTTAGTTTTTAAATGCTTATTTACAATTACAATCAATAACACTGCAAATTGACAATGACTGAAGCTGTTGTTAAATTTGCTTCTTCGTACAGTGATTTTATCAGGTGACAGCTATAAGCATCTAGAACTAGCACTGACTGAAGTTGTTTCACACTAATGTGTCATCCCCAAATGGTAATTACTGTTCGAAATAAAGTCATTGAAAGCATACCAATAAATTTAATTTAAAAAAAGGGTGGAAAATTCAGTGTTAAAAAAGAAAATGGAAAGCATATCATGAGAGATATGCAAGAACTCAATTATCAGGCAACTCCTTTTCGGAAAGGATAATTGTAGGAAAACACCTTCTCTGAGGCTTAGGCATATGTAGTAGTTCCTATGTGTAGTATCAGACATTTATCATCATAAGCAAATGGATATCCTCATTGAAGCTTAACAAAAAAAGTTGTGCAGCTGAACACAGAGAGGCTCTAAAGGAAAATCCCTCAAGTTACTTTTCCTTCTTGAACTTCTCTAACTTGAACTTCTCAACAGGAGAATATTACCCCTCTAAAAACTTCTTTCGTCTCAAGTATACTTTCCTCCTGACATAGAAGGGTTAGGATCTTCAACAAGAGCCCTTAAAAGAGAGACAGAATTCATTAACAGTGGTTCATTTTTTTTAAAGATTTTATTGGGGAATTGGGGGAGGGAACAGACAAGTTGCTATCCTTTTGTTCTTCAGTCTAGTTGTGGAGGACGTTGCTTCACTGGCCCATGTTGGTATTATCAATGCGCTCTTCCCGGGTGAGGCAGTCGCTCGCCGGCCCCTGGACAGCTGCTCACAGTGGCTCACGGCAGCTTACGCCGGCTGCCAGCCACTCACGGTAGCTCACGGCAGCCCACTGCAGCTTCACTGCAGCCTACGCCGTAACCGTCACCTCACGGCAGCCCAGCTCCACATCAAGCTGTTGTTCATCATTTTAGCTGTAGAGGGCACAGCACCACTGGCCCTAATGTGGGATCTGAACTGGGGTCCTGCTGCTCAGAGCTGCCATCCCAAGCCAACTCCTAACCAACGTGCCAGTTGGCCGGCCCAACAGTGGTTAATTTTATAAGTACAGGTTTCTGGTTTGAAAAAGTCCCAGTAAAAGCAGAATTTTACTGGGTCCTAAATTTCCTTATCTTGAGGTAACTCTAGCTATTGCTCTATAAATAGAGGTTGGCTAACCATTCCTTGAGACCCTGCTTATTGACCAGCAAACAAAGGCTGGGTTTCTCTGGGTAAAGGGAATCATTTTCTTATAAATCTCAGACCTCTCCCCAGAATTATCTCCTCTGGCCTGGAAAGTTACTTACAAAAGTCAGACATAACAATTTTATAAGAGGTCACTTTAAAGGATTTTATAGTTTCCTTGTTTAATGTTCCTATATTTTCACAAATTTTTAGAAAAGTTTTTGTTTACAGTACCATTCTGTCTCAGGTATGCTAAGGAGAACCTCAGAAAAGGCAATCCAGCCATGATGTTTATACTGGAGTTTCAACAGGAGCAATGAGGGTGGCCAGAGGCAATAGGAGGAAAAGCAAAGAACCCTTTCTCCATTGGAGAGTCCCCTTCAGAAGAACTTCTCTGCCTTACACGGAAACGATTTGTACTTCATTTCCACAAAGAAAGCCATATCTTTGCAATCATGCTTCTCAAACTCTGATGCCTGCTCCCCAAGGGTATTCAAAGTCATAGGATAAACATGGTACATTTTCCTAGAGACTTGATACGATTGGAAGTCTGATCAGTATAAAGCTGAGGAATATCACTGGCATATTGTAATACTTTTTTTTAAAAAAAAAACAATAGAAATTTATGGCTGTACAGTTCCGGAGGTTAAAGGTCCCAAATTGAGATATCAGTTGGGTTGCTGCCTTCTGGAAACTGAGAGGGAAGGTTCTGTTCCAGCCATTGGTTTAGGACAAATACCTTTTCCTTGTGTCTATACATCATCTTCCTTTATTGTATACTGTAATACTAAAACAGATACTGGGTTGTCAGAAAAGTCATGACGTATTTTTTCTATGTTTTTCGTTGCAAAAAATGAGTCATGACTTTTCCAACAACCCAATATATCGTAGACTAAATGTAAATTGCATGAGTTTTAAAGATACAACTTTAAAGAAATATGCTTAGAGTGGTGCCTATACCCACAGATACCTTAGGACTACTCCCTTTCCTCCTGTTATAACTACTGTGGAAACGTTTGAGAAGCAATACCTTAAAGAAGATGTGATATACAATTTTTAATCTAGACTATAAACAAGTTATTCAAAACTTACTTTGTGCATACAGAAAAAAAGGTAGCAAAATATTTGTAGATGTAATTACAGTTATCCTTTACATTTAACTATTTAGGTCTAAGATATGGAAGTTTTCATCTAGTTTATTCCACATATCTCCATAAAGACTGTTTCCTTTCAGGCTCACTCTGTCAAACTAATATGGCTTCAAGGGCTTACCGAAAGTAGCCCTCAGCCTTATGCAGACATATGCCATGTACATGATGGGGTTTAAGAGTATGTAATCTGCACTTTACCTGATCTTCCATTCTCTCTGTGCCTTCTAAGACTATCTTCTGGACATTTTCTTGTCTTTCCTGAATAAGGGAAAATTCATTAAGATAATTTTAAAAACCAACATTTTGCTGCTTGTTTATTTTTTTTTGTAATACAGTTATGCAACAGACATGTTCCTGTGTAATTTAGTTCATAGGAGAAATACTTTCCACTTTAGGGCAGAAAAGGGAGGGGGGTGGGGCAGGAAATCAATCAAACAAATCCATGCTCTCCTACACAATACAAAATAAAATAAAACTGCCCCCCTCCCTTTTTGCAGTTAAAAACAGATAATTTAGCAGAAATCAGTCAATATAACATCTGTATAGTTTTACAGGAAATGCTTTGCATTTTTCAAATTAAATAAGATCAAGTTGAATCTAGGTAATATAGAGCTTCCTGATTTTAAATGATTTTCATATACATGTGAAAAATAAGGAGGCAAGCCCGCAAATATAGTAAGAAACTATTCTTTTAAAAGATATTATTTTTCCTTACTATCTGATAAAAGCCTCATAAAATCAATAACGCTTTAATGGATTTCCATGTTAACATCAAACTGCGAAGTAGAAAGACGAATTAAATTTGTTCTTAAGATCTGCCAAAAGTATATGTAAATATTACTATATATTAAGCTATAGGATTTAGGAGATAACAATAATTTCCTCTAGTTCAATATGCAAAAGGAATGAAAGAAATAGGAATATCATTTATGATATGAAAATGAAATGAATATCTCCTAGAAACCATTTTGTCTAACCTCCTCAGTTTACAAATATGGACCCTTGCCAAAGAAGTTAAAGGGACCAAAGGTTCCACGGCCAGCTGCTTATGAAACAGTTGTTTTGAAATGCCTGTACCCACACACAGTAGTAAGTGAAAGATAGTCATGCAATTCCAAAAGAAAAAAAAAACTTTAGAGTTAAAGGATCCCAAGACAAATACAGACACTAAAACATTTTATGTTCCCTAATTTCTCTAAGCTTTAGCTTTTTATTTGTAATGTGGCGTTATCTCTATCATCTCCTACCTTCCAGGGTTATGAATATCACAGACATCACACTATATCTATCTGTATCTAACAGGGTAGATGCAAATAATAGCCACTGTTTGAAGTTAACTGCATATAATTTCTAAAAATTAGGTATAAATGTACCACAAGATAAAGTTTCAATGGCTAAGTTATCATGATAAATAAACTCGAAAACCACTCACCTTATGCATCCATATCCTTCCCTTCCGGATAATGTGTGTTAATCTATCAACACACACTCTGTGAAGTGGGAGGTAGAAGCTAAGTTCTGTCTGCGGAAGTATAATTGATAGTCCGTATGTGCTCCTATCCCCATTCCAGTTTCCATCGAATATTAATGAAACAATAATTACTCCCTTTTCAGACAACACAAAGAATTTTACATCGATAGCCCCACTCTCTGCGTTTCGAAGGATTTCTCCATTTAGGGTGTGGTTAGCAAGAAAAGTTATTTCTCCATCGCTGAGAAGCACCTGGTCTGTCTTTGGAGCCCAAATGTGTCTTACTCGAGGACCAAGAATGTTGTCCCAGTAAGCAAAGGTGGCTGCTAATAAAGGGGATTCACCGCTTAAAGCAATCTCTGTCTTGGCAACAGCTGGCGATGGTGGTGGACAGAGAGTTGACATCACTGCATCCCAACTGTCACATTATCCAAATGCTCCAGGGATATCTAAACAAGGACATACAAAACCAACGATTAGGCTCAGCAATTTTAAAGTCATCCATCTAAAACCCAGATAATTTAGGCGTATGTGGTTTTCTCCTCTCGTGTTCTCCTCTTGGAAGCGTGTTTCCTATTAGGATAGAGATATCCAACTAGCATGGCTGGTGCACACTGTTTGCTGATACAATTTGACAATACATAATAAGCTGTCACTTATATTCAGAAATAGACTTAGAAACTGAAAGTAATAATGAACTAAAAAAAGGGCCTCTGAACATTCATATGAAATATTATAAACTAAAGCTCATAGAATAGATCCTCACTGTTCCCAAATATCCAGCCCATGTGCAATTCTAATATAATTGGATATCTGGTTTCTAAACCGTTACCAACTAAAGTGGAGTAAATGAGGAAGGGGAGAGCTCAGTTACACATCGACGTTTGCTGTGGGTTGAACTGTCTCCCCCAGAGATATGTTCAAGCCCTAACCCCTCTGTATCTGTGAATGTGACCTTATTAGGAAACAGATGTAATAAAGTTAATTGGGGTCATACTGTTATATATTAGGGTGAGCCCTAATCCAGTGCCTCGTGTCCTTATAAGGAGAGAAAGATTTGGAGACACAGACATGGAGGGAACAGGGCCATCCAAAGATGGAGGCAGAATCAGAGAGATGCAGCTACAAACCAAGGAATGCCAAGGATTGCTGGTAGCCCTGATGAGAAGCTAAGAAGAGGTGAGGGAGGATTCTTCCTTCAAGCCTTCAGAGGAGCATGTCCCTGCTGACACCTTATTTCAGACTTCTAGTTTCCAGAACTATGAGAGAATAAATTTTTGTTGTTTTACGTTACTCAGTTTGTGGTATTTAATTATGGCAGTCTTAGGAAACTAGTAAAACACCTGACAGTAGAAACCCCTTAAAAGCTGCTAAAAGGGAAAACAAAACAAAAAAACAAAAAATTGCAAAAACTCAACAGTGTGTAATGATCACAAAACATGAACAAGCAATCCTGTTATTCTCAATGAACTTCCTGGGTATCAGGGTACTAAAGCCCATTACTGGTGTTTAAAATAACACCGAAACACCAAGACAAAGATAAAACGCTTAAGATGCATTTCAAGAAAGCAGTGTAGCATTTGATCATTAAAAAGAGAATTCTAGGGCCGGCCGAGTGACGCATTGGTTAAGAGCTGGCTTGGGACGCCAGAGGGCCCCGGTTCAGATCCCACATATGAGGGCCAGTGACGCTGCCCTCCACAGCTAAGATGCTGAACAACAGCTCAACCTGGAGCTGGGCTGCCATGGGTCCATGGCGATGGTGCCCATAGCAGTGGGTTGCCATGGGCTACCATGTGTAGACAGCAGCCAGCGTGAGCGGCCAGCAGCCGCAGTGAGCGGCTGTCCAGAAGCCGATGACTGATCTGCTTCACACGGGAAGAGCGCAATGATGATGCCAACTTGGGCCAGTGAAGCAACGTCCTCCACAACTAGACTGAAGAACAAAAGGACAGCAACTTGTCTGTTCCCCTTCCCCCAATTCCCCAGCGCTGTTCCCATCCCCTAACTCCCCAATAAAAAAAAATAAAAAAAATAATAAAAATCTTAAAAAAAAAGAGAGAATTCTATGCAAATGGTTAAAATAAAAAAGCTTCAGTTATTTAGAAGATGTAGACTACAACATGAATGGATGGGCCCTGTTCAAGCCTTTCAATCTACAGAGAAAAGAGAGAACGAATTGTGCTCTCCTGTATATCTTAATCTACTTATATACATCACTGAGTGTACATTCTATGTGATATCAGTGTAAAATGAATCATTTTTGTTTAATATTTAAATTGAATATTATATTCAAAGACTGAAAATGAAAAAAATGACAATTTCATTTAAACAAGTCTAAAATTGTAGAACCTATTCATTAAAACTGTAAAAGGGTTGCAGTTTTTAGCTGAAGGATTATATACCATCTTTGCATATATGATTGCTTTAGGAGAACACATTTGATCTATAACTAAATTCATGTCAAAGTAAACCATTTTACCTAAAGGATTTTATCTATATCTTGTCAAGAGTTCAGACTGATGAAAAGCAGGGACTTCTATTTTTAGAGATTTAGATGTGCACTTTTATCATAATGTCAAGAATAGGTACACACAGCTTGGCAAAACAATCTTACAGGAAGTACGTGCAGAAATGGTTTAACACAAAGACAGGTCTTATGTATATATCTTTTATCTCAGAAATTCATTTAGGGAATGTTTGTTTACTTTTTAATATGTTATATACGTGGATATAAGCTGTACAGCTTGTTTGAAAAACCCAGTTTTGGATACAACTTAAGCAGTCAGTTTACAACGACAGAATACAGGAATGTAATCTGAATTGAAACTATAATGATGCTATTGTCATCATTACCAACAGTAAGCTGGAGGCCAAGGAAATAAATTAAGTAAACAGAGAGCCATAAAATAATACTGTAATATATTTTTCTTTTGTTCTTTCTTTTTGGATAAAAAAAGTTAGTAACCATAAAGGCAATATTGCAGCTCAAACATTTCATCATTACAATGAATATGAAGAGTATTTCCTACTGTAAAATTGAATTGAGCCCTAGAGCAAAATCTGGTTGGATTATGGAAAAGCTTTCACCTGATGGTGAAAATTAAACTATTACAGACCACTAATTACATCCAGTCTTAGTATCATTAGAAAGAAAACAAAGGACAAGGATCATGTTGAACTGTTTAGCTTTAAGTCTTGCCAAAAGAAGTAACTTGAGAAATGAAATGTCACGAAGAAGTATAATTAGGAGAGTTGTAAAAATGATTTTACTAACACTTAATTAAAGTCATCATTTTGGTGAAGAAAATCCATTTTTACAAATGTGGCTGAAAAAAAAATCAGTTTAAAACTAGTAGCTTTTTTTTTTAATCTACATATCTTATTTACATGTAGTGTTGGCTTCTTCAGAGGGTTATCAAACATTAGCCTTAAGAGTCTTTTGAGGGAAGCCAGGATCCAAGTTGGGAGACACGGTGGCTTGCCACTCCTGTAAACAAAGAATAGGGTTCATGAGATGTAACCAATATATTTTCTGAAAATAATCCAACATATACAGATTATAATTATCATCTGTTAAAACTGTTAGCAGAGTGGTAAGTCTGAAGCTTTGCTTTTTCTTAAACCTTTGCTAAAAATCAGCCGTCTCTTCTCTGACTGATATTTAGAAAGTGGATTGGTCCACTGCTGTTGTGAATCAGAATTCAACCATAGTAAGGCCCACACTTCTTGTAACCATGCTTTCTGTTTATTTTTCTCCCAGCCCTAAGAGCTGGATCCTAAATCAGCCCATCTTCCGAAACAGGAGCTTCCCAGAGCAAGTTTATTGACAGTGAACAGCTTGTAATGCCAGCTAGTTTGCAACACTTTCTAAATTTTCATCAAGCAAGACTTAGGGATGTTCAAGATATCACTATCAGGCCATCTCTCACAGCTTCAAATTTCTCAGATTAGGCAGGCAAATTTATCTACCACTCCTCTGAAACACTTAACATAGTACCCAAGGGCTGGCTTGAAAGATAGGAGTCTTTATTTATAGGTTTTCTACTTCTCTGTAAGGAAATTTTTGGACAGCGAACAGAGCCAAATAAAGAGGCTATTTTATCAACTTTATAAGGAAAAAAAAATCTTTAGCCCCTATGTAATTGTTTCCTGGAGGTTAGTGCTAGTTTGCTGCATAATCTGCAATGTGGTCTATAATTTCTCTCATTTTTGTTTATATATATCATGAGGCAAATCCAACTGATTTCCTTTCATAGAGTGGCAGGGTTTGGCTGAGGTGCTGGTACCAGTATCCATGTCACATAACACCATCATATTTCAAGTGTTCTGATTCTACACTATTAATCTCCCATACATCATATTCTCGCTTCTGTGATGTTCCCATTATGTTAAAAGTTTTCCGAAGTCTGAGAAACATCACATCTAACCGTATTATCCGGAGACTTTAGTCCAGATTAAAAGCAATGCCAGGTGTACTGTGTCCCCTTGCGTTGCATCACAGGTGAGGGATAGTAACAGCCTGAACTGGAATTTATCCACTGGCCACAACCAGACTGTTAACTTTGCTCGAGCCTAACAATCTCTACCGTTTCTGAAAGGGGCATCTCTCTTGCGCAAGTGCATGACCTCCCTTTCTCCTAAATACATGAGCCTGGAAGAGTTCACCGCGGCCAGCGAGACCCGGTGCGGACATGGCAGACGTGTAATCAGTGCTCTTCTTTCTGCAGCTGATACCATCAGTCTAGTGATGCCCAAGTCACCGTGGTCAGTCACTTCCTTTAAGCAAGCCTGTGTAACCGCGGAGCTGTGAAGCAAGTAGGGCATGTCTCACGTTCTGGGGAGCACAACCCATTCTAGAATTGCTGCCCAAATTTACAAAATATCAGCAATCCTTAGAAACTTCAATGCTGTAACGTAACGCGTAGTACGTGCACACCGCCATCCCAACCCGCATCATCTCCTCTGACCCCAACTGGGCCCGGGGCAGCCGCGCGCCACTCGCCCTCTGGCCTTCCCCCGGGGCCAGGCCTCTCGCTGCCCACGGCTCTTTTCCGTGGAGCCCGCGGCACAGCGGGTCCCACGGGTCCCTCTGGGTCTCACGCCGGGTCCCCGGTAAGGAGCCGGCTCGGGGACTGCGGGAGGGAAGGCGGCTGAGAGGCTCGAGCCCATCCCCTGGTGTCTGCGCCGCCGCTGCTGAGCCCCAGGGCCCGGATGCAGGCAACTCCACTAGACGTCGGGCTGAGAAACCCGACGCCCGGTTTTGGACACAGACGAGAAGGGAAAAGGGAGAACGAGAGGAATCCCGGGGAGAGCCACCGCCCCCGCCGCCGCCGCCGCCGCCCCCGCCGCCGCCGCCGCGCAGTTCAGTACCCAGACTCCAAACAGCCGCGCGTCCGCCGGCTTCTCACTCACCCCGTCGCCGCTGCCGGCGCGTTCGCCGCCGCCGCTGCCGCAGGCGCAGGGACCGCAACCGCAGCCCCGCCCCCGCCACGCCCCTGGACACGCCCCCCGTTCCTTCGCGAGTGGCCGGACCCCGAATCCTCTTCGCGCAGCGGCTGTTTCCCGCCACGTGTTCTTCTGGTTAAATTTTATGGAATCTTTCCTCGTTCACCCTCAGTAAATACTGTGAGAGCAAGGGGCGGGGAGAAATGGCGGGAAAAGCAAAACACACACCTCCGAAACGCTTACCTCCTACTCTCTCTAGGCCCCGCCCCCGAAAGGGATGGAGCTGGGCAGCAGGGGTGGCTGACGCAGAGAGCGCCATCTTTTACCCGGGCGGAACAAGTCGTCGCTTCAGGGAGGCCCCCTTTCCTCGTGGGACACCGTAGGTACCTTCTTGGCGTTTTCGATTTGCGGTGACGTGAGTACACGAGGCTTGTGAAAGGGTAGGGGTTATTTGCTCTGTCCCTTTGCTCAGTGACGCGCTCCGTAACAATGCTGGTTTAAGGTGTTAATCGAGATAGACAGTGCTGTTTATTCTGGGGAAGGCTGCTGGGACCCGAGCGGGGTGGTAGTTGTGAAAAGTTTTGTGCTTGGCAGGTACTGGACGCTCAACAAATATTTGATGAATGAATGTAGTATTTATTTTTTTTCCTTAGTTGACACAACTAAGTACACTGTGACTTCATCCCAAGTCCGGTTGTGTAATTTCCTTTTTCCACATAACGTAGTCATTAGTTTTGTCTTCTTCACTTTTACATGTAAACGTTTTCTCCAGCATGATTTTCACATCTTTAAATGTTCTTTTTGCTAGTTGCACAAAGTGAGGTTTTTTTAAACCTTTTAAAATGTACTTTACCATTCTGTTTGATGCGCTGTAAGATATTTTTAAACCTGGAATAAAATCAGCCTTTGGTCTGCAACTGCGTATTCAGGTTATTCACTATGGATGAGTGGCACTTAATATTTTCCATTTTTAAAAATCATTCAGCACATCTTTATCATTCACAGATAAAGGGAGGAATAAATACAGAAATGACTCCCTCAAACCTATACCCTCCGCAGAAATAGACCCATTACTCACTGTTCTGTGCTTATACCATAACACCAAATAGCGACCATTTATCTATCTGGTTCCTACTGTGTGTTTGGCACTGTGCTCCTGTGTCTATTAATACATAAAGAATTATGCTTAATCCTCCTGACATCTAGGATATACATAGTGTCATCCCTGTTTTACAGAGGATATAACGGGTTCAGAGAGATTAAATTATGTACCCAAGGACACTTGGCTGGCTGATTCAGGCCAGTTTTGTGCAGTTCCAAAGCCCACTGAGTCCTGAGGACACAGACTGGTACAGAGGTGATGACAGCCTTTCTCAGATAACACCTGTGGTGGGGGATAATACTCATACCCCGCAGTTCAGAGTAAGATTGGGACTCAGAAGAAGTGCCTTAGAGTGGACTACAGCACTAAGAATAGTTTTTTTTACTTCAAAATTTGCCTAGAGTCAAAATAATTTCCTTTTTTCTGCAACAGGTTTCTGGTTTTGTGCAATATCAACCCAGAATAACCATGCTTCCTAAGAGCGAAACAACCAAACACCAAGGTCTAAATTCTGCATGACCATGAGAAATAAGATATATAAAGTGGCTCTGTGTACATGATGCTTCGTAGCTAGTGAATGTGAATCTTTTCCCCACATCTGGTTGAACAATTATCTAGGCATCATGTAGCAGTAGCTTGTATGTCTTTCAATTGATTGGATCCAAAAAATCAGGAGGGAAAAAAAAGTAATCATGACTTAGTACTGTGGCCCATAGTACATATAAGCTCTAAGGTGTAAAAGAGGGGTACAAATCTTAGCACACATCCTTTCTTCAGGGAACCAAAGAGAAAATGACATTCAGTATGTAGTAATGTGATCCATGTTAGGAGTACCAAAGGATGGCTTGGGAAGGCGTTAACCCTTTTCTCCTACAAATTCTGTTAAATCAGCTCAAATAAAGCACCCAAAATAACTGTACTGTCTAAGTAAAAATTTGTTTTGCTATTGAAATATACCTTTAAGCAAAAGCCCCAGTCCCCCATTTCCAACCAGAATGATAATGCTAAGACTTGATTTAGATATTTTTGAGCTATCCACATATAATTGATAAGCAATCATACAAAAAGGCTCTACAATTAGGGGAGCAGTGAAGTAATTGGTTAAGAGCTTGGGCTCTGGAATCAGAGCTGGTGTAAGTATTGTCTCTGCCTATGAAACTTTGGGCAGTACTTAACTTCTCCATGCCTCAGTTTCCTCAACTGAAAAATGGCAAGCAGGGTAACATAGGGTTGTTATGAGGCTCACCTAAGATCAAACAAGCTAAGGGTTTAGAACAGCATATTCGAGAAATGGTGGCTCTAATCTCAATTTTTAGTAACTACACAGGGATAATAGAAGGAATAACAAATGACTTACAAACCTCTTACATTATTTATCTATTTATAATTTTAATAAATATAATATCAAAACCCAGGGAACCTTCTTGCTACAAGTGTCAGTTATTGTCAGGAAGCCTTTTCACTATCCTCTCTTTATTAATCTGGGTCAGAAATGTATTATGTGCTTCTTTGGAGCTGGATCTGAAGACTTGTTAATTACCTCCCATTTACCATGTTTACAGCAAATTATATTTAACTGACTGGCATGTGAACAATCTGATGTCGGACATGGACGAGGAATATTGCTATATAAACCACAGTGAGTTTAATTTCCTTTATGTAATGAGATTTTATGTGGTTGCCTTAACCATTGCAGACTTATCAATATGTACGTTATGGTACATTACCTTTGAGTTGGAATATAGATGAGCCAACACCCAACTAAGGTACTTCCAGTTGTAATCTTGATTCCTGTATATATAAAGTTAGTTTTGTGAGCCAGTGTGAAATAAATGATTTAGAAAGCTCTAGTGGGGTCCATGTCTGGAGCTAAAAGTCTATAGTACTAACGATGCACAGAGTAGGCAATAGCCCTGCAAGAGAACATCATTAGGACACAATATACAGAGGGTGCCAAAAAAATGTATACACTTTTTTGTATATAAATATACATTTTTAAGAAAGGAAAAAACTATTAAAATTGTAATAATATATACCGGTAACAAAAGATGAATGCAAGTCACATTTAACTTCTACAATTACAAGAGGTGCTCATAGTGGTTACCATCAACGTCCAGACACTTCTGATTACGGTGAACTACTGCTTGAGTAATGGTGACTGAAGTGTCCACTTGTATACATTTTTTTGGTACCCCTGGTGTATCCTTTCAGATTCTTTTGGGAGGAATGATTGTATAAACAGTAAACCAATAAGATTCTCAAGGAGAGAAATCACATCCTCCACCAGGTATCAACCTGTGTTCTTTCCATGCTGGTGCTCTGTACCTTGAAAGCAACAGTTGTGTGAGATCTAAGGCCCCAAATAAAGAGTCCCCAGGAGAAGAAATTCCTAGCTCATTGCAGCATCATAAAACACAATAAAAAAGAGAACAAGAAGTAAGAAGACAAGCCTGTCGTTTTCTTAAATCTTAAACAGGATCATTAGCTAATTTCTTACAGAGGAAGACAGATTTTGAAGTTGTATCTTGATAAGTCGGTCATAATTTGACTGAATTTAGGTGCAGTCAACAGTGCACATTGATAGTTTTGGTGCTGCCCTACTATATGCCTGAGTCACAGTGGACCCGTAGCAAATGAGCAGCAGTGCTCTCAATGATAACGACTTGTTCTCAAGCCATGTACTTCCCAGGCCCACCTCAGGATATCTCCCCAAGCACATCTGCCTATGGTTACCCCTTTACTTGCAACTCTCAGTATGTTTTTTGCATGTATTCTTATACTTTATTCTACTTACGAGTATGTTGCTTTGTAAGTAGATTCTTTAGTTCATGTGTGACTTCTGCCTCTCAACTTTGTAGTAGTTCATTTGAGATACAGGACAATGTGCTTACAATTTCATCTTATGATTCCTTTGTCTTTGGCACATATCAGATGATTGACAAATATCAGGTGCCTGATTGAAACTTTACTCCAACTACTAAGAATTATTATCCTTAGGCCAGACTTCTGTGTTGCAAGTACTTCTTTTGAAAATAGCTTCTGTATTTATTTAAAAGTTGGGTCACTCTGTTTAAGGATCAGGGTCACTCTGATTTAAAGTGGGTGAGGTGCTGTGGAGGAGCTTTTCTCTCTTTTGTCATTGGTATCATCTTTCCTATCTCCCTTCTCCATACTATTTCTTTAACCCAACAAGGAAATATAAAACCACAACTAATGACTCTGGGCCAATATCAGGTCACTTAGTTTTATAATGTTTTGATGTTTGGGAGGTTTTGATATCTGTTCTTGCTCTTCTTCAAAATTTTCTTGACAAACTTGACCCTTTCGCTTCATGTGAAGGTAAGGATTGACTGGCCTGTAAAATTCCACAAATAACCTTTGTGATATTTTCATTGGAATTGCATTGAATTTGTAGATCAATTTATTGCCTTAACATTTTTGAGCATGATATATCTTTCTACTTACAACTTTTCTCATATTTGTTAATTAGGTTTTGTCATTTTCTCAGAAAAGACACTTTGCATCTTTTGTGAGATTTTTCCAAGTTATCTTTTAATTGTGTTGCTATTGAAAATTGTTTTATCTAAAAATGAAAGTTTAAATTATTTGTTGTTAGTATTTAGTCATACTAGTTTTGTATGTTCATCTTGTATTTGGCAATCTTGCCAAATGTTCTTATTGCTTGTAAACAATTAAAAGGAAGAAAAAAAAACCCAAAACAACAACAAAAAACACCAACAAAACAAAGAAATAAGCCCAAATCGAAAAGGTACTAATCATTTCCCTGTCTTGTTCTCCATCTTCCAGAAGCTGCCCGTCCCTTGTAGTGTCTAGTGTCAGAGCATGACTCTGAAGGCTCTCCACTATCTGGTTGCAGCTGACTTTTCA